CCCAAGTTTACATCCCAAAAACTGGACAGAAGTGATAAGAGCAGCAGTAGAGAAAAGAAGAAATTCTGGGAAGTGATGGGACCTTAGCAAGGGACTTCTTCAGCCAAGAGGCTCTCATCCTGCAGGAGATAAGTTTATAACTCAATCACTCAAGAGGCCAAGTTGAAGTTACTCCTCTGATAAAATGTTATCTTTGATGTTCTCTTTGTGACTTGTGCTGGAGAAATACAGTGTGTACTTAGACTTCATCCTAAGTAATTAATACCAAATCAATTATATGATGCAATATTTGCCATGAAAAAGACTCTAAGACAAATTAATCTGAAAAGTAATTTGCATCAGATACATTTTGGGAAGAGTACTACATAGCTAACTCTGTAACATAAACAGAAATTGTGGTGACTCTCAATAAAGCCAACATTTATACATTAATTAACCTTAAAATAGTCCAAGTCCTTGATTTTATAATAATCTACAAATGGGTCATTTTTCAAACTACAGACTTTAGAAGCTATTTTGCTAGACAGATCCAAGGGACAATTTGAATTGCCAATAAAATTTTCCAAAGAAACCATTTTAAAAATGGTTAGAACATAATTTAATGACTTTATCTACCATTTTCAGCTAATGCATTCTTTTTTTTCCTGTGAGTAAGAGTTTAGGACAGACACATCTTATTATTTACATATTAGAAAAAAAAATTGATTCCTGCTTTAAATGCGAATGGCAGTGCAGTTCTAAATGCTGGGCTTCCTCTCCAGTATTTGTCATCAAATCCATTAGTCATCCGATTTTTAAGTCCATTTGTGATTAGCCAGTGTTCCTTTTAAAATAAGCAGCAGTAAAACACCAAGTGATACCATTCAGATGATGATTTAAAGGTTGCAGAGGCAAGGCACGAAGATATTACTGAAACAACTTTTGCTTTTTTCCTCAAACTTGTAACTTTGAAATCATGCCCATGTTGTTCTGCATCCGTTCATTGGTCTAAGCAAGTCTTCCAAGGCCAAGCTTTATAGTTTGTGGCATTGGTAGAATCTGACCAGCTCAACAACTTAATGGGCTCATAGAGAAAAGTGTGAGAAGGTCCTGGATGAACAGAGCTCATCTGGATTCACATTAGCTAATTTTATAAGTAGATGGGGATAATTCAGCATGTCTATCCCAAGTAGCTTATCCAATTTGAGTTAAAAGTGTTATCTCATTCAGAATAAAGATTTTCGTGTGTAGCCTGGACATATGGCTAGAAATCACACTTTGATGATGTCATCAGGTATCTTTGCAGTAAATACTAGTCATATGGCTATAATCTTTTAATTCTAAAGTTATTTGTCACTCAGTGGCCTGAACGTCAATAATCTGAGCATATTTGAAGAATCTTGGCTTGACAACCAAAAGCAAAAACTTGACAAATAACATCAGTGTGATATTCGGTAACTTTGGCATATTTCACAGAATGGTTGAGGTTGGAAGGGACCTCTAGAGATCATCTAGTCCAACCCCCCTGCTCCAGCAGGGACACCCAGAGCACGTGGCACAGGGTGACATCCAGGAGGGTTTGGAAAATGTCCAGAGAAAGAGACTCCACAACCTCTCTGGACAGCCTGTTCCAGGGCTCTGTCACCCTCACAGGAAAGAAGTTCTTCCTCACAGGGAGATGGAACTTCCTGTGTTTCAACTTGCACCCGTTACCCCTTGTCCTGTCACTGGCCACCACCGAGAAGAGTTTGGCCTCGTCCTCCTTACATTCTCACCTCAGTATTTGAAAAGGAACAAAATAGAACTCTATTGCAAAATACTGATAGCATTTTCAGCCTTATAGGTTAAACTTCTTTACTAACGGAAACATTTGCAGCCCGGTTGGTTCACTGGAACAAGGATGAAAAAAAACCCGTGATGAACTTCGCTTATCTCTACTAGTGGTTTCCTATGTGAACTGGGCAGCCCCAGGGTCATCTCTGTGCCTCATCTTTTGCTTTGTTTTTCCTTACCTGCAATTCTGCATGTGTTTGCAGGTGTCTTTCTTGTTTTCCTATTGCGCCATTTGATAATGGTGCTCCAGGAACGCCTGGTGGTGAGGGTTGCTCACTGTCTTCTGCACTTTGCTATAGTGATCTGTTCATCATATTTCATTATCAAATGCAAGGTTAAATACATTATATAGACATTTTAGGCATGAGACTTGCAAGGTTAATGCAAGTACGGCAATAACTGCTCTTTGAATATAATTATGCTTTCGTTGTATTCATTCTGCTATATTTTTTTCTAGATACCAGGGTTATGTTAAAGAAAATGTTAGATTCCTTGAGGCCTTGCTATTGGATTTGATGGACTGACTGTCAGAAATCAAAACATAAGCTACCAGGATGTTGTGTTTTGGGAAATTGTTTTCTGAGATAGTCCCCATTTTGCCATTTTAGTAAACTAATGATCAGCAAAGATGTACACTAGCATGTAAAGCACAGTAAAGCACTGCCCCATAAAATTATAATTCTAGCAATAACAGTCTGAATAAAGCTTCCTGAGTTCAGAAGTTAAACGTATCCATATAATCTCTTTTTGGTCTGGGGTGCTAGAGAAATAGTGGACAACATAGACCCAAAAAACACATTTCATAGACTGCATATTCTTGGCATCACACATGGCTTATTTGCTGGCGTGACTCCTCAGTACAGATACTTTACCAAAGAGATGTGTCAGCTCAAAGCAGAGTCAGGAAGAAAGACTGAACTTTCTTATTAAAGATTCTAAAAATAACTCCACTACAATTAATAGCAAGGAATTACCCAAGATCTAGTGGTTTTCCCTCTACAGTTGGGTAAATAGATGTCTGGAGATTATTTGTGGTGACTCCTAACCACATCGAACACGCCACTTCATGTAATTTAAAAATAATTGAACTGGAAGCAGGAGATTTAGTTAGTTCCACAATAAATAATAAAGAAATTTCCTAAAATCGTCTAGTATAATATCCAGGAAATTATTACCATAATTTGTAAGCAATAAAGAGATAGATGCATGAGTCAGTCCCTTTTCGAACCAAGTTCACAATCTTCCCTTTACTTAAAGTTCACTAATTCACTAATTCAGAAAAGCGGGGCTTGCTCAGCTTAGCAAAGCTGAGCAGAAATAAGCTTTTTGTTTGCTTGTTTCTCTGTGAGCACCTAGATAAATATCAGGTAAGACAGAGGCCAACGCTGCTGCAGGAAAAAATGAGTAGAAGCTGGCCATGAACAACAAAGTTAGGCTAGAAATCAGAGGAAAGATTTTAAACTCTGTAGCATTGAGATTCTGCAACAGCTTCTAATTAGATTAGTGAGGAAAGTGGGAAAAATGTAAACACTGAAGACCAATTAACCAAGCAACAAATTTAAAACAAACAGAAGGGAATACTTTCCTACCTCCAGAGCATTCACATGGCATGCAGTAACAGCACGCCGTTCTGCAGGATGTTGTAGAGGCTAAAAATATACATTGACTTAACAAGGGATTGGTCAAGCAAGTTCCTGAAGGATAAACTCTTACCTTTATTTAAGAGAGCTCCTCTAGTCTTAGCACAGAGCCCCACAAATCTGTGCAATGAATTATATGTGGGTATATAATGCACTGTACACCCAAAGCATGGGTAATGGGATCAAATTCTGTGTTCAGTGTAATACAAGCAACCCAACTAGTCTTTTTATCAGGTCAAAGCATTTATTTGTTTAAGACCATAGTCTTAAACTAGCGGATAGAGTCAAGCAAGCCAAATACAGGTGTTTTGTATTAATTACACAAACTTTAATCAGTTCCATTTTCCATGCTTACCAATTAATTCCTACAGCTATTGAAGTCAATAACCATGATAAAGAGTTCAGAATCAGACCTTATAAAAAATAGAATACTTTAAAAAAATGGAAATTGGTCTATAAGTTTTGTTTGCTTGACTCTATCTGCTATCATAGACTTAAACAAATAAAACACAGTTTTGTGTTTATACTACTCAGCTCGCATTATTCAGTTTTCAAATTATAGGTTTGTGCTTCAGAAACGCATAATATATGAAGCTTATCATATGGTCACACCAGAGTATTACACACAGTTCAATAAAATATGGTATTGTCAACCTTAATATATGAAAAGGATGAATCTGGCCTTGATCATCACAAAAAATCCTTAAAAATTATACCTTTTTAAAAGAATAAAGAAAATTCTGTCTGCATGGAAGTCAATGACAAACCTTTCATAAAGTTAATGACAGAATCCATATGGGATTCTTTTTAATTGCCTTTTGTTTTTTTATGAGCGTTGAGGACTCACCCACTTCCCATTTCCAGTCTCTGTAACCAAAAAATTAATTTTCCTCTTTAACTGACAGTTGGAGCTTTCATGCAGTCTAATAACTCCAGCAATCACGGCATTAAGAGAAGCTCTAGCTGTCAGAAGGTTTGAACTGCAATTATGAGTCAGCTACAGTGCAAATATTTCCTTTAAGCTCATCCTGCAAGAAGAGTGCAGAATGCCTTGCCGGGAAATTTGATGACTTGGGCACCGTAGACAGGACTACTCTGAGGACGAGGGCCAGGGACATGCCATGGCCACTTCCAAGAACATGGAAGAGACAAAGCAGGGAGGGCAAGAGGGGTGCAAATCCCAGGAGAGCTGCCCTCACCATTTATCCTTAGGGGCAGATGGGCTGGGGCAATGCTGTCTATTTTAGGGTTGCCCATCCCCTTCCTCCTCGCTTTTTTGCAACAAGGCTCAATCTCCAGGTCACACGGGCAAGTACGCAGGGAGGTCAGAGCTATTCCAATATTTATCTAATTCTGGGATCAACCCTACTTGCTGGGCTTCATGTGGGAGGGAGGTAGTAGATGACTCCCCTTGGAAAATATAATTTTTTCAGGTTCCTTATGTTCAAATCAAGCTCAAAGCCTCAAACAATGTCAGCAGAGTGGATGTCATTTAATCAGAGATTAATTTATTTTTAGCTGATGTTATTTTTTAGACTTGACTAACTGTTCATCTTTGGTTGAGCTACCTGGGAGATGCTTCACAAAGGAATACTCATAGAAGAGCAGTAAAGACCTCTTTTGCAGCCAAAAAGGAGAATGAAAGGTAGCTGGAAATATCTGCTTGAAATATAAGAGTTAAGAGCTAAAGAAGAAGAAAAAAGAGAAATCTGCAAGGAACAGAAATGGCAGGAGAGGGCCAAGAGGGACAGAAGTATTTTAAGCTAAAAATAAATCTCATTTCTCAAACTTAAATATATAAAGCTGTCCATTAGAAAACTGTATGAGATTACATCTCTACAGTGCCAAATAATTAATGACTTTAAAAAACCCTAATAAATTTGGATTTCATCAAAATCCTGTTGCCTATCATTGACTGTTTCAAGCAAGGACTAGATCTTAAGGGAGCCTAGCACCTGTATTAAGATGTACACTGCTGACATCTTTCCTAGGTACATCAATTATAATTAAAGAGTAATAAGAATGCTAGGATGGACTTCTCAGGCACATTCACGCAGGAGCCCCAGCATTTAAAATTAAATCCATTAATTCTAACTACTGTACGTTTGTGATCCCTCAGAGTACAAACTAATTCATAGCTTTTGTAATCATGCCAGTCTTTGTTAATTAAGGTTTGTGATTTATTTAATTTGAGCAGGGATGTATCAGAGTGCCCAAAACTGGACAGATAAAAGGTCATTAGCTCATACTGTTCAAGACGATTTGGAATCTGATGATGAAAAATGTTTCTAGGTGTCTGACAAAAATTGATTAGCAAAATGGGCACTAATTGTTTAAAGGAAAGCTCCATATTTTCTTCAACCCAGCCATCTGAAAGTTCATATGTCACGAAGCTCTTCTCATTCTGAATTGGCTCTGAAATACATTTGAAGATAAAAGGCCTTTCTCAAAAAAAAATATTGTTGCAATTTCTTAGAGGAGGAGACAGCATTAGCACTGTCACCATCCAGATAACTTTCTTCTCTTTTCCCAAGTAGGAGCCTTGGTCACAGCCTCTGTGTGAGGCACAAATGTTAATGGATGCATTACTCTGAAAAATACCGATCAATGTGCTGGTGAGTTAGCAGCCTCTCTGTTTCCTAAAAGGGCAGGTGGGGTAAAGAGTGCAGAATGGACATGATCAAGTTGTAGCTAGTTAAAACAGACTCTGACACAAAAAGAGGCCTCATAAACAGAGCAGCAGTACTGACCACAGTCTGATACAACTCCTTTTAAAGTGAATGTCAAATGAGTCACAGCTTTGATGCCAAAGGCAAACCAGGGCAATTAGCTCTGAGGTAAATGACTATACTGTGGACTTCTCAAGTTAGGTGAGGTGAATTCCAGAGTCAGGAAACCGTTGAGGTTGGAAAGGGACCTGTGGAGGTCATCTAGACCAACCCTGCTCCTGAAAGCAAGGGCATCTAGAGCAAGTTTCTCGGAACTTCGTGCAGTCAAGGTTTGAATATCTGTAAGGACGGAGTTTTCACGAGGTCTTGAACTCCTCTCCCAACCTTTGACCACTTCAATCATGAAAATTTTCTTCCCAGTATCTAATCAGAAATTGTTGCCATTCGTGTCCGTAGCCTCTTGTCTTCTCACAGTGCACCTCCAAGAGGAGTCTGCATCTTATTTACACACTCCATGTTAGGTAGCTATAGACAGCATTAAGATCTTATCTTCAGCTGAGCTGAACAAACCCAATCCTTTCAATCTCTTCTTGTACATCAAGTGCTCCAGCCACTTATTATCTTGGTGCTCCAATGGATTTGCTTAAGTATTTAAATCATTCTTGGACTGAGATGCCTAAAATCTGATCCGGCTCTCTGGATGCTGCCTCTCAAATGCCAAAGGGGAAGAGCCACTTCCCTCAGGCTGCTAAATACACTCTAGGTCTTGCAGGTCTGTGTGTGGTTGGCTTTCTTTGCTGCAAGGGCACACCATTGACTCACGTTCAACTCTTTGTCTACGAGGACTCCAAGTTCTTTCCTGCTAAACTGCTTTCTAGCCAATTTATTTGATCATCATTTCACAGAGAGTTAAAGGACACGTTGGACATTTATGCTACATCTCCTGAGCCCCTGCTGTGGTATCCATGTCTCTTCCTGATGGTATTTTGGAATCCCAGATGGACTAGCAAAAATCAAAAGACAAAAGTGGTTGCACAGCACGAGGTATTAACCCTTAGAATCAGTTTCGAGGCAAAATGAGGACTATCCAGCAGTCTCTGGCACTTTTATAAATGTCATTCTGTAACACTAATAATAATCTCGAACACTTTTATTGCATGTTTGCCATTTAAATCCAAAAGTCTATTTAGAAGTGCCTAAGCATCGTCACTCCTTCTTTGAGGATGGGCGTTGTGTGATGGCAGTGAATTTACCTCAGCTAACTTCAGCCTTGCAAATGCCAAGTGCCTGATCCCATCGTCAGTAGTCAGTCAATGAACAGTCACATCCAGAGGGCGAGCAGCTGATCCGCTTCCAGGGCAGAGTTGAAAAGAGGTAGGAAGTACCTCTCTGTTGAGGGGTCTAGAAGAGAAGGTTAGATTAGATGCCTAACATTTAGATAGCTAAAATTAGATGACACTATTGATTTTAATAATAAATTATTACCAGAGGTGCATGAATGTTAATCTCAGGCAGCATAAATTTTCTTCCCTCCTACTAGGCTTTGTGTTTTGTGTAACTATGCTGATTTTCACCAGCTGTAGAGCTAAATTACTGAACCTGAATGGTGCAAAATCTAGTTTTATAGATTAATTTATATAGTTTATTTAAGACTAAGCTAATATGCCAATGTTGAAATGTAGTCTGAACAACTCCAAGGGTGTACATACTGAATCAGAGGAATCTTCAATTATTCCACATAGCAAATTCTTCAAAGGTCTTTAAAATATTAGAATACTGTTGTTTTCTATTAATTATCTTAATTGGTATCTGCTTTTTTTTTGCTTGCTCCGATTGCTTTTCTGTAAAATCATATTTTGAGTCCTTTAAATAATTTTTGGATGAGTCTTCATGACATGACCTCCTTAGTTGCCTTCAACTTCTACGGTTTCCAGGAGTTTGGAAGGTCACTTCAATCTTACAAGAGAAAATCAATGAAAACTTACCTTCCAACAGGGCATGATGTTGGCCTTTGCTTTCCTTATTTTGTTTCCACTGTTGGAAGTGTCCAAGCCCTGTAAAACAAGCAACCCTGAGTGTTCATGCATAATGAACATAAGTTAGGATGCACTTAAGATGAACTGGGATCTTTTTTTTTTTTCCAGGCATAGAACATCTTACAGAACTTAATTGTGAATAATTTGTCAGGAAGGATCTCTTTAAATTCCTCTTTCAAAAACTTCTTCAAGAAAACACTTGAAAAAATATATATGCATGCATATATGGGTGCATGCACACATGCATGTGTATGGGCATTTGTATTTTTTTGTTTGTCTCTCTGGAAGCTCAGGTAACCCAAACTAAAAAAAAAAAAATCAAACTACATGAAATATTTAATTTTGATAAGGCTCTTGTTTACATGGGCATCAAGGGAATGAAAGCACATTCCAACCAATTTAAGTAAGAAATGAAGTGGAGCTTGTTTTAACAGCAGCTAAATATGCACTGGCCCATAATACATATATTTCTGTCAGCATAAAATCAGCAAGTTGGAATTTGTTTGGAATGGCAAATTCTGTAACACTTGTATAATGCAAAAAGTTCCAGGTATAGTAAAGGTGAGCCAAAGATAACAAAGGTAAATACAAAGTTTTATTTGTGCTTACTTTATGGCAATTATTCTTTCTGATGGAGCTTTAAAGGATATCCAAGGATATTGGACACTCAATTCCTATTAAAATAAATAGATATTTAAGTCTATAGGTGGCCTTGGAAATGAGTACCCTAATCTTTATTATTTAGCTGAGTATATTTGCACTACTAGTATTAAAAGTTTACAGTTTTTAAACACACAATACAAACTACTATTTATGGTAAATCACCATTGCCAAGTAACCTAATAAAGTTTCTTGATTATAGCTATAAAATTATAATGAATCCTTACCCACACACCCTTCAGATGACTGAATGCCTAAAAGAAATGATCTTGTTCAATTAGAAGTTATGAATCAAACATAGGAATCTCTGCGAGAAATTTTACTATTTATCTTATAAAGGAGGTCGGACTCTAGGGTAATGATTTTTCATCTTAACAACTATGAATATAATGCTCCTTAGTATTTTCAGTTAGACATTCCCATAGGGGAATAAAGCATTAGTATTGTGAAAGGTACCACTTGTTTGATAGTTTTTGAAGCCTGGGGAGCAGAGATGGAGGGCAGGTAGCAATACTGAGTGATTGCTAATGGCACCCCTCAAATCTCATTGAATCAAGCTAACAAAACATGAAACCATCACCCCAGAACAGTATCCAAATGCACGGCTGTAGCTCACAGGTCTGATCAGCTGGTAGAATAGGATGGACCCTGTCCATTTTTCAAAGCTGGGCTAAGGCCTTGAACAGTTGTTTTGGTAATGTACATGAGGCTTTAGGTCTTAATAGTTCCTCCAATTACTGCTGAATCTGGCCTTGGCTCAGGAATAAACTCCTTGTATTGAAAAGATTTACTACCCTAACTATATCTGTATCTCAATTTAATGAAAATGTTAAGGATAATTTGATGGTCTCTTGCCAGTGTAATTTTAAATAAAATGTCTTCATTCCTTGGCACTGTGTATTGGCATTCATGTTTAACTAAGGGAAGTGCTTAAGTGAAGTGTTTTTCACATTGTAGTCTTGCCAGTATCTTCTTTTATAGAATAGATTTAATTTTCAGTGTTTTACTCAGAGTAAATAAATTACAAAAAATAATTTGCTTCCCCCATCCGCCCATATGAATAATGAACCTTAACAAAGTATTACTAGGAATCAGATATTGGCCAATCACAGCACTAATCTCAAGCCTCATCACTTGCAAATTAAAGTATTTTAAATGTATTTTCTGTTCATTTACTATGTGCTTTTGTAAAAAAAAAATATATATATATGTATAAAATATTTCTACATCTTCAGAAGAAATGCAGCACATAATTAAGTACTGTCAGTGCATTTTAGACTTGCATCTGAGTCCAACAAGTCAGCATAAAAGTTTAGAACACTTTATTATAATTGCACAGGGAATGGAAAGTAATAGTAAGATGGTGACAGTTTGGCCATCGTATTCAAAAATACTGAGCAATTGCCAAATACAGTCTTGATTGGTTACCCTTTCTAAATAGGGAATTTACCAATGGGAATAAATGGACAGAATGGGCCAGAAGGATCATTCATCAGAAATTAAATTGTTTGGGGATTAGTTTGATAATAAAAAAATGTTGTGAGCATTGGTACTCACTCAATGGACATACAATATGTACAATATTTATTTTCTTTTTAATAATGTTTTTAATATGTAGAAAAATAGCTTATGAAAACTACTAAATTTGTCCCTGACAGGGTTGGAGGGTGCTTTAGGTTTAAAGTAAGAATAAGACACAAGCAGCTCCATAAACATAGAACTTAATAAGTTCCCCCAGTAGTGTTACCCTTAGCAGCCAGCTCACCATAAACATCACTGCTGGGAAGGATTTTATTATTATTATTATTATTATTATTATTATTATTATTATTATTTTATTATTTTATTATTATTATTCCCTACCACATTCTCACCTCTGTTTTTATTCCGCTCAGTACCATGGCGTCAGCAAACTGTATCTGGATTATAGCTTTGCTCCAAGTCACTCAGTGATAAAGGGAAAGAAAGACAGGGCTGTAGATGAGCGTGATCTTGCATCAGTTAGATACAAGCCACAAAACTTCTGACATTTGCTACAAAGTGTTGGACCCATGAGACTGTCTTTAGACAATATTTTTGTGTGGAGGGCATCACACTTTGCCCATATTGTCTACAAACGTGATTATGGTGATTATGTTGCATGTGCTCTTTTCTTTATTTTCACAGGATGCACTAACAGTAAAGAAGGGCATTTGGCTCCAGAATCTTCATGCCTATGCCAGAACTTAACCTTATTTTTACTCAGCTGAAGTCTCCTCTGGTAAGGAGACTCCATCCCACCTTCGAAGCAAAAGGCCAGGCCAATTTGTGTAACACTGCAGAAATGCAAAGCATATTGAAATGGCTTGACTGTGCACACATACTATGATTCAGATTAGATGACTCAATCGCAAAAGGCTTCTTTCCAGGGAATGTCACCATCCAAGGACATATGGGTGCTACAAAAACATCCTTTTGTTCATTTTTCTTAGTGAGCAGCAGCTACCTTCAGCTAATGCAGGGACATTAGGCCATGGCACAGCCACATTTTCATCGCTGCAGTATGCTCAGTGGAGCAAGAGTAGAAAATAGCCATGTAGTCCAGACATAATCAGTCTCTACCATCTCTTACTGGACCTCATTGAGTCTCACAGTTAGCCAGCCCAAGGAACTAAACTAGTATAAACCAGTCTGCAAGCGTGCAAAGCCCTAAAGACACAGATTATTAATTTTGACTATAGTCAAAAGAAGATTTTTTTTACAGTCTCAAAAAATGGTTCCCTTATTTAAAATTATACTTTACAGAATCAGATTGAGGCTGATTCTTGAAGCAGAAAATTTCAATCCAGATGATTAAATCTATCGGTGTACAAAAATCCGTATTTTCTTACCCTTATGACAGTGATCTTCTAATCAAAGATTTCTGGGTAGCCTTAACTAAAGGAACAGGTACTTGGACTGTATGTAATAAGCAATGTCCTTATCTGTGGTGTTATATGCCTCTGTGAAAATAAAGGTAATGGATGGCCTTGCCATTATTCATTTACACCTTACTTCAAGTTAATAATGAAAGTAAGCAAAAATGTTTCACTTTCAGTCTAGTTCTTTGACTTTCTAACTACAAAACAGTTGTAAGATATAAATAACACTTCTATCAAGTGTGGAATTTGTCTGTCATGTTGAAATTGTGCTTGTATTATATTGCATATGTTGCACATTTACAACTATTTTTGGCAAAGAGAAAACAAAGGGAAAATAGCATAGAAATGTTTTTGAATGCCAGGGCAGGATAGTTTAGAGCAGCATATAATTAGAAATAAATATGTAGAGCTATTTTATACACAGGAACTGATCCTTTTCATAGAGAATGGGGATGGACTAGAGGTCATTCCAACACCAGTGTTTCTGTGATTTTTTTAATGTTTCTAATTTCCCAGGATATCCATATTCACAACCTTTTTGTTTGTTTGTATTGTTTTGCTCATTACCACAAATACTGAAAAAAAAAAGAATTGTCTTGGAAATGGAACTTTTGTCACTGCTGATTTTCCAATCCAGATGAATAGGCCCTACACATGTAATTTCAACTAAAAAGCAGAAAAGGTTGATAACTGTTGCAGAAAGGGAAGAAAAGTTCGAGCAGTTACATCTTTTTAACAGATTGTAGTCTGAAGAACAATTGGCCTTCTGCAGTCTGGCTGCACCTGGAAGCAATGTCTGCATAAGCTTATGCCTGCAAGGGGAAAAAGGAACAATGTCAAATTGTGATTTGGAGACAATAAAAATCTCACGGAATGTGCAAAAGGAAAGGAGATGAGAAAGATGGGAAACTCAGTATGGAGCTAACTTTATTGCAGCTGGTGAGGCGAAAGAAGTGAACTGTTGTGGATGTTAAAAGAGGCATAAATAAAAAAGTAATATTCCTAAATTCTTGGGTACTTTTTTCAGGGCCCCTGAGTGAACTAATAGGCCTTAAATGTCCTGATCAGCTCCAGCTGGGACTCTCACTCACTCAAACCTCTGCAGATCAGGCCGGGATCTCTATTTAACAGGCAGAGCTACTTGAGCAAGTTTGTGTAGACCTTGGACCTACATCATAGTCTAATCTCCTGCTGTGGCTGATTAGACATGATTCATCCCTTCACCTTGTCTGGGGCTATTGACAGACTCTGTTGCTAGTGGGTGGCTCTGCCTACTATGTTTGGTGCCCACTGATCTTCCCTCATGCAGCAGCTCCTCTCTTGCTGCACCTAGAAAACATTGAACTACATTTTTGTACTAAAAATAAATGTAAAAAGAAAGCACATTTTATTGTTTCTTCTGCTTCTGTAAATGCGCTGTATTCAAGACAAACTGTTATGTGAGATATTTTCATTTAACAAAATTACATCTGGACTGGCCTCTAGGGGCACATGTAACAAATCAAGATTTCTCAGATGTACATTCATCACGTGGGTTTATGTCATTTGATGACCACAAAAAAAAAAACAAAGTACCTCTTTAGCAGGTAGGTGACAGCCTGGATCAGCAGAAGATCTTATGTTCTTCTAACCCTAAAGCTGGCCTCTGTTAAAAGTTCTTTTGTTCAAAATCTGCTCCATCTAACCACCACGCATGGAATTTTCACATTCGTTTTGTTTGCTACATGAGGATGGAAGCTTTAAGTTGACTTTGCTACCAATAAAAATTTCACACAAAACTGTGAACTAACAGTTTGCTTCTGAGCTAAGGAAAATCAATGAATTAACCTCTAAGGCCATGTGGATTAGCCCTTTAGTTTACCATATGAGTCCTACCTAATTCATCAAGGCCAAAGTCCATGTGAAAATAATGCTGTCGTTCTTCGAAAATCTTGCTACGATTTTTCAGAGTTGTCCTATTCTCTAGGAGCCAAACTATACCCTAATGGGGTCACATTGCATCAGCAATGCAAGGGGTTGAAATTGTGAACCAGCACTTGACACGATATTACACAATGCTCAAACCTCAAATAGTATTTACAGGAGGCCAGGTTTGCTCATACTGAAACCACATCATCCCAGAAGACACAAGGTCAATGTTCACCCTTGCCAAGCACAACTTCCCTCACAAAAAGTCCAAAATTTTAAAATTTAGACTCTTCTGTATCATCCGAATCTGAAGAAAGCTCAACAAAAAGATCACTTTATATCATTTTTTGCTCAGCTTGGGAGTAGTTAAATGGCATTGTCTTCTCTGTAAGAATCAGCTCCAAAGGCCATGCCCTGTCTCCTGGCATGGACTTTTGTCATTTGTCTGCCATGCAAGGGTGAGGTGAGAAATCTTCTGCTAAAGTGAGGTGAGGTGAAAAACTTCTGCTAAAGTAAACGAAGGCTGGATTGGGTCGTTTGCATTTATTTAGCACCTCACAGCCGCAGAGTGATCAGCTGCTTTCTGTCACTGCTTTCCCCAGCATCACCTTGGTGTCTGGAACACCAGGATTAAAAAAACAGAACAGACTTCATCATCCAATTCTGTTGCTTTTGTATGAGAACTCTTCGTTTTCCGCTCTTGTCTGGATGCCTCAGTCCCGTAGGGAGGCTGCTTACGCAGAGAGGGGTTGGACTAGATGATCTCCAGGTCATCTAGTTGGCTTGGGGTTGGACTAAATCATCTCTAAAAGTCCCTTCCAACCTCAGTCATTCTGTGATTGTGAGAAGTTTCCAGGCAGGTAAGCAGCATTTCAAAGCTGTTAGGGGTGTTTTTGGGTAATTAGCTTTTTCAGGATCCTGACATTGGAGGGGTCATTGGAGTCTTCACAACAGGCTAATGTCTAGCATATGCTCATCTTACAAAAAGTGCAGCAAAAGGATAGTTGTGTCATAAACCCTTGGTTTTTAGGGGGTCTACTCATTAAGAGCAGACATGCTGTTCGGGATGCTTATAAAAATAGTTGTGTCGTAAACCTTTGTTTTTTAGGGGCCTACTCATTAAGAGCAGACATGCTGTTCCATGTAGTGTTAACAAAACAGCATCATTAGCAGCAGTTTTTGCTGTTATGATGGCAATGTCACAATGATGTTATGATGTGATGACAACGTGAGGATGACGATATGATGTCGTGATGTGTTACGCTGAGGAAGAGCTGTTTGTGAGGGAGAGCCGGGCTCCCCGCTGCGGCTCTGTGCTCAGCACCGTGCGGTCGGAGCGGGTAGTCCAGGCTCATCCGCACAGCTGGGAAAAGCTCCTGTCCAGAACGGGAAGGGAAGAGGCACTTGGGCCTGTGGTGACACCCGCACGGCTCTGGGCAGTCGGAGGGACCCACACGGGGTGTTTGGTGTCGTGCTTTGCTCAGCCCTGCTGGGCCTCCCCATCCTGGCGGTGGGATCTGCAGTGACAGGGATAAAACTTCCCCTCTGAAGAGAAAAT